TGAATAAACTTTCCATTGTGTAAAAAATCCATCATGAGAAAAGTCAGAAATATTTCAAATGCTTACACAAATAAAACTTTATGCTACAGATTAATTCCAAAGAGTTTATTCTAAGGTACATAGTACATGTTGATAATCGATAAATCGATTTGTACCCGTATAAGATCGCGGAAACGATTTTTAATTCACCACACTTAATCGAAAAGCTTTTACGGCGCCCTTGATCTAAGCGCGGCGTGTGTAAAGATTGCCAATAAAAGAAACAGGTAGACGCAAATATTTGTGAACAATTTGTAGAATTCACACATAATAACAAGGCTGTTGTTTGTCTGTCCGTGTGTTCGGCGGCGGCACAAAGAGCATCATTAGAGTGGTAAGGTGTCATGATTGCTCCCATATGGGATCGTTGTTAAAAACCTTACAAATTTATTGCATCTAGAAAATTACGTTTATTTATGCTTTTACAATTGTTTTTTTTTTTACGTTATAAACATGCGTTTTGCTGATACTCACTTCTGATGATATGTATCACATCTGCCTCATGTAAGTTTTTCTAATACTTTCCCTTGCCAACACAGTCGTAAAGGCATCGCCAGCAGAAAATCTAGACTAGATCAAGAGGGGGGCTAGTAGTGAATTGCTCCCTCCTCGTCGCTCAATTTTTAAAACATAAAACAACTTTGTTGCTTTTTCTGCAAGCCATATAGAAAATCTTTGATGTTTATAAAATACTAGCTGGCTCCCACGACTCAGTCCGCGCAGAATTGAAAAAAATATAAAATTAGTAGCCTATGTGTTCTTCCAGACTATGTTCTACGTGTATGCCAAAGCTCAGCCGTTCTGGCGATCCATCTGCCTAAACATTCGCATTTATATTATTAGTTTGATTCAAAATTAAATTGGAAGAATACTTCACGCTATTACACATCCGTAATTAGAATAATAAATGTACATTTATTCGCCTATCTCATACAAATAAATAAATGTTTGGAACAACCCTTACAATTTCCATTAGTCTTCGCCCAAAATACCCTTAAAAAGGGTTGCGAGTCATGCGTTTAAAATCCATTTTTTAATTATATCAATTATTTGACGAATTTGTTCGAACCCCTTCGCTACATACATTTATATTTTTTATGGTTTGACAAAAATTAGACAAGGTTTAAAGCGGATAATTTTGATTGTGTATCTCCTTGCTTTATTATAATGTAGGGTTGAGAATAAGTGAAGAAATATGAAAGACCCAAGTTGACGTTAAAAGATGCAGTACGGTAATTCTAAAGATGATCGGGAGATTTAAAATATGTACTTTCTTGAAGTTAGGTAGTATTCTCATGCTATCTATCTAATATTATAAATGCGAATGTTTAGATGGATGGATGGATGTTTGAAGGTATCTCCAGAACGTTTATGCCAAATTTCATGATGATCATGAAATTTGGCATACACGTAGAACAGAGTCCGGAAGAACACATAGGCTACTCATTATATTTTTTTTCAATGCTGCGCGGACGGAGTCGCGGGTGACAGTTATTTTGATATAAAACGATAATGCAATCTTCGGCAAATTACAGTTTTCTAATATTCTCTTTCTAATCCCACCCTTTACTTGTATAGTAGGGACGGGAAAAGAAAGTGGGTTTTAGCCTAGAAGTGGACGCATAGAA